GTGAGTGGGGAGGGGTCTGCTTGGAGCACCTGCTCCCCCTCCCACCCTCCCTCCACCTGGCCTCCACTCCTCGGTGGGAGGGAGCGAATGGGGGAACGCAGGAAAATGAGTGAGAGGGTGAGGAGGAGTTGGACCACCTCCCTGCCTGGTGCCTCAGGGTCAACCCTGCTAGCTAGTTGATGTCCTCTGGGCAGGGGACGCCCAAGTGCTGCTGTCTCGAGGGGTGACTCAGCCTCCCTCAGAGGCCTGTAGGACCCCGCATTGCCACATGTTTCCCTCACCCCGGGACATGGCAGACCCGCCCTACCCAGCCTCCCCCAACCCCACCCCAGCTCCAGCCTCTAGCAGATGCCTCACCCCACATGCCCAGCTCAGCCAGCGACTCCATGATCACGTGACCCAGGGAGCTGCCACCATTTTAGCTACATGAAGGGCAGCCCTCTCTTTACCATGCATGCCCCTGCAAGGTTCTTACCCCCCTGCCCAACAAGTGCGTCATATATGCAGACGCCCAACACTCATTCACTCAACAAATATTTATCAGTAACCAAGGATGAGGCAGGCACAGCTGGAGGCTCTGGGAATATAGTAAAGACATAAACCCCTGCCCTCAAGGAACTTACACATAAGTAAATCGTATGTTAGCGGGAAGAGGAGAGAGGACTGAGCAAAGTGAGGGTGAAACAGTACCAGTGGCAGGTCAGAGAAGTGATGTTTGAGCAAAGACCTGAAGGAGGTGAGGAAGCAGGCCCTGTGGATATCTTGGGGAAGAAGGTTGCCAGGAGGTGGGAGCTGGTGCAAAGGTCCTGAGGCAGGCGCTTGTGCTTGCTGTCTGAAGAACAGGGTGGGTGCTGGGCAGAATGAACAGGGTGAGCAGCAGGGGTGAGGTGGGAGAGATGGGGTGGGGGCAGGCAACAGAAAAGGACCTACAAAGCTACCATAAGGTCTCTGGAAGTTACTCTGAATGCAAGGGAAGACACTGGAGGGAAGTGGGCAGGAGAGTGACACAATCTGGCTTTTAGCAGGGTCCCTCTGTGAACAGCAGACATGGGGAAGCAAGGCCGGTCAGGAGGCCACTGGGTGACCCCGGCTAGGGATGAAAGGAGCTTCCACTGGTGTGGCAGTGGTGGAGCTGGTGAGAAATGGTTGGATTCTTGATCTATTTTACAGCAGAGCCAACAGAATCCCCTGCCCTATTTGAGATGAAGTGTGAGAGAATGAGAGAAGTTACAATTTTTGGCTTGAGCACCAGAAAAGATGGAGTGGCCACTAATGAGTGGGAGGAGGCACAGGCCTCGTGGGGGAAAGGGAGAGTGTGTTAGTTTGCACGTGTTGACTTTGCAATGCTTTTAGGCATTCAAGTGGAAACATCAGGGAGGCAGTGGATATATAGGTCTAGACTTCAGGGGAGAAGACCAGACAAGAGCTATTGGCATCTAAATGACATCGAAAGCCACGAGACATGGAACAGGAGAACAGGAAGCCCAGAAATAAACCCACACAAATAGAGTCAACTGATCTCTGACAAAGGAGCAAAGGCAATTTCGTGGAGAAAAGATAGTCTTATCAACAAATAGTGCTGGAACAACTGGATGCCCACATGCAAAAAATGAAATCGACACAGAACTCCTTATGTCTTTCACAATGAGCAATTCAACATGAATCATCGACTGAAATGTAAATTACAAAACCATAAGACTTGTAGAAGAAAATGTAGGATAAAATCTATGTAGCCTTGGCTTTTAGATGCAACACCAAAAGCACAATCCATAAAAGAAAAACAGTTAAGCTGAACTTTATTAAAGCCATGAGGATGAATACAATCACCAAGGGGGGGGCAGGGTGGGTGCAGAGAGAGAGGAGAAGAAGGCCAAGGACACATGCTGTAAGATTTCCAGCATCTTCATAAACAACTCCGTTAAACTCCCATGGCTGTTAGAGGGGATAGCATTGGAGATGCAAATCTGGAAGTCAGCACAGATAGCATTTAAAGTACCCACCAGCCTATATGAGATGGCCTAGGAGGTGACCCAGGCCGAGGAGGGGAAATGTAAAGACCAAGCCCTGGAAATCTCCACCATTGCGTGGTTGTGTGACAGAATGGGGAGGAGCAACAGTGAGCAACAAGCAGCCAGGGGACACAGCTGTCCCAGAGACCAGGGGAGGAAGGTGCTTCAAGGAGAGAGTGATCAACACACCAAATGCAACTGGCAAGCCAAGGGAGGGTGAGCCTTAACTAATGGGTTGGCCACACGAGGTCACTGGCAACGATGCTTTGGTGAGGTGGCAGATGAGAAGCCCTGCCAAGAGGAAATTAAAGGAGAAGTGGTGGGGACAGCCACCTTAGACAATTCCATCACAGAATTTTCAGAAAAGGGAATTAGAGGAAAAGGGCAATATTTGAAGGGGAAGCCACATCAAAGAGAGAGTTTTTGTAAATGGAAGAAATTGCAGCAGGCTTGCATCTGATGCAAACAGTCCAGGAGAGAGAGGAAACTTGACAATGCGGAAGGGAAAAGCAAGGGCTGTAGGAGCAGTGAGTCCTGCAGAGAGAGGAGAGGGAGCGACCCACATTCAGCCATCTGATAGGACAGGAAATAAGGCCAGATTCAAATGCATCTGGGAAATTCTGAGGAGTCTACATATTGGACCAACTTCCTCATGAAGTCTGCTTTGTAACAACAGCTCACATTCTGAGGAGCACCCAAGGATACAAGTTAAATCAATGACATGGAGTTTCAGTGAAAAAGAAAATGGCAAGCAAACAAAAAATCTGGACACTTACCCTACTTTCTCAAGGGCAGTTCTACAATTATCTAGCAATGTAAAAGTTTGGACCTACAATCAGTCAATGATCCTGCACTGATCTTTCACAGAATACGTACTGAAAGATGATAAGCAAGAGGTAATTGTATCTTTTAACGCATTAAATTTGTTAAGTCGGTGGCTCACGCCTGTAATCCTAGCTCTCTGGGAGGCCGAGGTGGGAGGATCGCTTGAGCTCAGGAGTTCGAGACCAGCCTAAGCAAGAATGAGACCCTGTCTCTACTAAAAATAGAAAAATTAGCCAGACATCATGGCATGCACCTATAGTCCCAGCTACTCTGGAGGCTGAGACAGGAGGATCACTTGAGCCTAGGGGTTCGAGGTTGCAGCGAGCTATGATGATGCCACTGCATTCTGCCTGGGGTGACAGAGTGAGACTCTTGCCTCGAAAAGAAATAATTACTTGAGGGCCAGGAGTTCAAGACCAGCCTGGACAACATAGCTAGACCCTGTCTCTAAAAATAATGAGAAAAATTAGCATGGTGGTACACCCCTGTAGTCCCAGCTACCCAAGAGGCTGAGCCAGGAGGATCACTTGAGCCCAGGAGTTTGAGGCTGCAGTGAGCTATGATCGTGCCACTGCACTCCAGCCAGTTCAGAGAGGACATGGGTCATCTGGGAGGATGCTGCTACCTCCAGCTCCAGGATGTCTTAGTTACTTCTCAGTAGCCAGCGTTTGCCTTCAGCACTGCTAGATCTGGAACTCCAAAGCCACCTGCAGAAGTCAGGGCTCTGTCCAGTGGCAGCTAGGAGATCCAAAAATACAACAAGCTCTAGCGCCCAGTATGTCTGTGTGGTGATTTAATCCATAAAGACTTGACCAGAAGTCTACAAAGACTTCCCCCATCCAGTGAGGAGCGCTGTGTCTGGTGTTCCTTGGTAAGTAGTAGTCGTCTTCAGGGATGGACAGATGGAGATCACAACGTGGAACCAACACTTGCTCATCCAACCAAATTTTTGATGCTCATCCTGTTCCACTGCCTCCCTTAAGTCTAGCTCAGTGTTTGTATAGGTTTGCTCCTGACTGTCTTGAGGACTCTGCACTTCTCTCTCAATCCTCTGCCCTGATCGGGTCCCCTACATCTGCGGCCCCCAACCCCTGGGCCAGGAACCAGTACCAGTCTTGGGCAGTGGCCTGTTAGGAACCAGGCTGCACAGCAGGAGACAAGCGGCAGGGTGGGAGGTGGGGTGAGCAAAGCTTCATCTGTATTTACAGCCGCTCCTCGTCCCTCAAATCACTGCATAAACTCCACCTCCTGCCTAATCAGCGGTGGCATTAGATTCTCATAGGAGCATGAACCCTACTGCAAACAGCACATGTGAGGGATCTAGTTTGTGGCTCCTTATGAGAATCTAATGCCTGATGATCTGAGGAGGAGCTCAGGTGGTGATGCTGGCGCTGGGGAGCAGCTGCAAATACAGATTGTCATTAGCAGAGAGGTTTGACTGCACAATAAATGTAATGTGTCTGAATCATCCCAAAACAATCCCTCCTCCCCCAGTCCATGGAAAAATTGTCTTCCATGAAATAGGTCCCTGGTGCCAAAAGGGACCACTGAACTACATGTTGATAATCCACTCCTTGGAGTACAAGGACATGTATGTGACATGCAGCTGAGCATGGTCCCCTCTGGAAGACTCCACTGAATGGGCGTGGGCTCTCCCTGAACATGGTGATGTCTCTGAACTACCAAAGGGAAGAAGTGAGTGAGCCTTGGCTGGAACTTTTGCTAATCATGCCAGCCCATCAATTCCTACTATAGTGGCTGCGCTTGACAGGACTGAGGCTTAGCAATGGCCTGAATCTATGGGACAATTTGGCCAGTAGATGACAGCTTTTCTAGGTTTCTAGGTGAGTTTGGTCTCCCTCTGGTTGAAGGCTGTAGGTTTCCTGTCCTGTCCCCATCCCTCAATCTGCCACTGCCTGTCTTTGACTGTTCTCAAACTACTTACAATTCAGGTGTCCTCAAACTACGGCCCTTGGACCACATGCAAGCCACCTAGCACATTTATCCGGCCCTCCAGGTACTATTGCCCCCGCTGCCTGTCCTGCTTAGCAGCCGACTCCTCCCAGGCACACAGTGCGCCACTCTCCAACAGTCTGAGGGACAGTGAAATGGCCCTCTGTTTAAAAAGTTTGAGGAGCCCTGATTACATCCCTATGCTTCACTTACCTGTTGCCCGTGCCCTGATCACCAGCAACTCAGACCATTGTCATCAACACACATTCTTCTTCCTTGTTGATCTGAAGAGTAAGGGGCAGAGGCTCAAATCCTGGCTCCTTCTCTCATTCACTGGGCACGTTGGCCAGTCACACTGGGCACCTCCTTACTATTCAGTTTCTTCATCTGCCATGAGAATGAAGTGGTTAATGCAAAGTAAAGAGTTTGTGAGCACAGTCACGTGCTGGGCAGTAAGTGCCCAGTCATCACTAGCTCGTCCTGTGGTCAGTGAACCTCGCCATCCTACTGCAATGCCTTTGGGGGAGCTTCAGGTTTGGGCCCCTTTCCAGCTGCCTTCAGTAGCGTTTGTGACTCAGGGATTGTCATTTTACTGTCAGGGACCTTTCTCTCCTCTCTTTTTGTGCTGTTGCCGAAGTTTGAGATTGCTGGGCTGTCGACTCTGGATAACAAACTTGCTTTCTGCTAGCTATTTGCACTTATTCCACGGTAAGCTGATTTCTCTGATACCAGAGCAGCCCGAGCTCCTGCAGGCAGCCACTGCAGCTTTCCTTTGCAGCTCTCCTCACCCCTGTGCTGTCCCCACCCCTCCTTGGCTCTCTGTCCCCTGACAGAGCAGAGAGAAGAGCTGCATTACCAAGCATCACATTTGTCAGTGCAAAACCCGTGTCCTCTGTAGGGAGTCATTTCCTTTCCCAGCCCTAATTCTTTGCCCTTTTAAACCAGAGCTATTATTACTTCTAATTTGCATTGAATGGTCCCTTAGCAGCCATCACACACTGAACTGGATACTAACTTGCGCCTAATACTGCTAGGCTTACCAGAATCTTAGTCTTCCAGACTACAACTTAAAATGTGACACACAGAAATGTAAATAGCTTTCGCCATATCCGCAGATGTAAATATCCTCCTTTACGGAACAGCTGCATGACAGCCAAGTTGACTAGAAAGCTCATTTTAGATTAGTCCTATTTTCCCCTTGCCATCAACAAAAACCAATCTCATAGATTTACTCCCCTTGAAACATTTTTGGACCCAAAATAGTGGCACTGCTCTTAAGAATAAAGGAAAGAGGCCGGGCGCGGTGGCTCACGCCTGTAATCCTAGCACTCTGGGAGGCCGAGGCGGGCGGATTGCTCAAGGTCAGGAGTTAAACCAGCCTGAGCAGAGAGAGACGTCGTCCTCTACTACATAAATAAAGAAATTAATTGGCCAACAATATATATAGAAAAAAGCCGGCATAATGGCGCATGCTGTAGTCCCAGCTACTCGGAGCTGAGCAGGAGATTGCTTGAGCCCAGGATTTGAGGTTGCTGTGAGCTAGGCTGATGCACGGCACTCAACTGGGCAACAAAGACTCTGTCTCAAAAAAAAAAAAAAAGAATAAGGGAAAGATTTGAAATAATATTCAATATCTAAATAAGTAGATAATTCCATAAACTCTTTAAAAACACATGTATTTAGACTCCACCTTTTCTAGAAAGAACCTAAACAGTGGACAGCTGGTAAACTAGCTTCCTGGGTGGGACGGCGGGGGAAAGGATCTATTTTGTAGTATTCGCCTATATCCATGGGTATAAATACTCCCGCTATGGCTGATTTCAAGTTATCCACTGTTTAAGAAAGGGCTCACAAAGTTCCTGAATGTTTAACAACACAAGGTTCTGGCACACCCTGAGCCATCAGAAAGATACATGAAATGCATAAGATAACATAAACAGCAAGCAGGTAAGACGAAGGAATGAACACAAGGCAAGTGTAACCGGGACTAGAAATATAAAAGGCACATTATAAAGCCCTACGCAATGTTTCATACTCACTTTTGGCTCTGAGAAGCTCCAAGCCTGAAAGGAGACACTTACGGTTCACAGTGTTCTTAAGATAAAAATAAGTCGCATGCTGAGAAGTGCCAGTTTCCTGTTCTTCAATTTAGGTCACATTTCTCCTCTGAGGGTCCCGTAAAGCAAAAGACCGTTGGAGCGAATGTCCTCCAACTCAGCTCGGTGGTCTGACCTTGAGCTGCGATCGTGTGAAAACAATGCTACAGACACCCACCCAGTCCAGGTCCCAGGCCAGTGGACCTATTTTCCAGCCACTCCTGGCCAGTGGGGCTGTGGATGTGCGCCCCTGCTTGGAGCCGTCGCCAAGCTTTTGCTAGAGACCAGACTGTGGTAAGTTCACTTGCTCTCCCAGCCACTCTCCCCACCTGAAACCATTACTGGCCATAAAACTCAACCCATTTTCTAACTGACGATCAGGGCGCAGAGAGAAAGCCATTCCTTTGGAAAATGAACTCCTTTCGAGGCCGTGCTCCTCTACTGGGAGTGAGTAATCCTGATGCAATATTCAAAGTGCAAAAGGAAGTGCAAATACTGACACTCCCAGGCTCTGATCTACATTGGCACAATGTTTTAAGAGGACCAATGAAGAGGAGGAGAATAATGATTGTGCAGTGAACTGAGCATTTCTTCAATTTATCGCCTCCTTCCCGGAGGTCCATAAAAAAAAAGTCACCTCCTCATTCCCTGGCATTTGGAATTGGTGAAAACTTTTAGTTAAAAAAAAAAATTTTTATCGAAGTAAGCATACATGCAGAAAAGTTCTCAAGTCCTAATGAAAAGAGAACCAGTGATGTCAGCGCTATATCCAGAAGCAGAGAACATTACCTTCCGCACTTCACCTCGTGTTCCAGCCAGGCACTATTTTCATAGGGACCACTGAACCCGTTGTTTTAGCTGTTTCTTGTTGTTTTGAGACAAGTCTTGCTCTATCACCTGGGCTAGAGTCCATGCGCAGCCTAGCTCAGAGCACCTCAAACTCTGGCTCAATGATTCTCCTGCTCACCTCAAATAGCTGGACTACAGGCGAGTATAGATACACATGCCTGGCTAATTTTTCTTTTTAGTCACAGTGTCTCCCTCTCCAGGCTTGGTCCAAACCTCTGACCTCAAGTCATCCTTCCACCTGTCGGCCTCCTCAGAGCGCTAGGACATTACAGGAGGACCACATACCGCCTGTTTTACTATTTTTACAGAAATTAAATAATCACAACGCAAGTAAGTAGTGTTTTGTGTCGGTTCTTCACTCTTACTATCTGTGAGATCATCCATGTCGCTGAAAGTAGGTACCAGATGTTCGTTCTTATTGCTGTACAGTTATTCCATTTTTTGAATATCCACGAGTGTATGCACTTTACTTATATAATTGGTTTTGTTGTAGTTTTGTAGCTACTATATACAGCTTTTAGACATTCCTACACACATTTTTGGGTGAACTAGCACATCATTCCTTGGGTGTATATATATACACAACAGGAGGAAATTGCATAGATAAATACCCTTGTTTTGCTTTGTTATTATGCTTTACTGCCGATAAATTTCAGATCGCTTGTACTACAAAAAAGTAAGCTTTTTACTCATTTAAACTAAGCAAACAATCTTGTAAGTAAGTGACCCAAGCTGAGAAGTTTGTGACAGAGTAGTACAATAACACTTGATCCGACATAGAAAAAATTTTTTCCCCTGGGGCCATATGGTTTTTTTGTTTTTGTTCATTGTTTAATGTTTATTTTTATATCATGTACATTTACCTTTTTTTTTATTTCGGCCATATTATGGGCGTACAGATTTACGGTTTCAATAATGCCATCTTCCCCCCTCCATACGTGTTTTATTAAAACAATTGTGCAGTTGGCTGGCGATGTGGCTGACCGCAGTAATCCTAACACTCTAGGAGGCGAGGTGGGGATTGCTTAAGGCTCTCAGGAGTTCAATAACCACCCCTGAGCGAGACCACGTCTCTACCACAAATAGAAGAATTATTTGACTAATACAAAATATATATCACAAAACATGAGCTGCATGGTGGCGCATGCCGTAGTCTCAGCTACATCGAGCATGACAGGGGATTGCTTGACCCAGGAGATTGAGGTTGCTGTGAGTAGCTGACGCCGGCACTCACTCTAGCTGGGCAACAAAGTGAGACTTGTCTCAAAAAAACAAAAACAGGCGGGCATGGTGGCCACGCCTGTAACCCTAGCACCTCTGCGGAGGCGAGCGGCGCGATTGCTCGAGTCAGGAGTTCGAACCAAGCTGACAAGGTGAACCCGTCTCATACTATTAAAGGAAAGAAATAATGGTCACAAAAGATACACAAAATGAGCCGCATGGTGCACTGCTGTATCCCAGCTACTCGGACGGCGGCGAGCACGTCGCTTGAGCCCAGAGTTTGAGTTGCTGGACTAGCTGACGCCGACGGCACCACTCTAGCCTGAGCAACCAATGAATCGTCTGTCCAAAAAAAAAAACAAAACTAAAACAAAACAAAAAACAAACCAAAAAACAATTCTGAATCTTTTCAATTGTTTTATGTTTTCTGTGCTTGAGTTATATGCGACACATCCATGTTTTAAGATTAATTGCAATATTAATTGTAACAATAAAACATCACAAATATATAAATTTTCACGACCAACTTTAAGGTCTTGCTTCAAGCAGCCGGCCTGGGCTTAAAACTGGCCTGAGTTAAGTGACTCACAGGCAGTCAATGTGTTAAATAACAGCTTGTAACACAGCTCTGTGCATCTAGTATCATGCTATCATGAAATGGAATTGTGAATTCTAACATAAGATTGCTAATCACAATCCAAAGACAGAAGAATAATATTCATTCCATATAAAAACAAGAATAAGCTATTCAGAGTGGTATGCTAACAAAAGGAGTTGTTTCCCTTAGAACGCATTCTGTTAAAATAAAGAACAAGATGAGGAAGCCTTCCATTGCCTCCTGCTGTTAACATGTTTCGATAGTAGCCAATCGCGGTAACAAAGCGAAGCACTTAGAGCCGCAAGACTATTAGAAAATTGCAAAGAAGTAAGCTATTCTTATTGTCAGATGATATGATAGTATCCCGAAAGGCCAGAACAATACAACAACTCAAACAACAAATAATTCACCAGGTAAAAAGGTAAATTACCTTAGAAACAATACAAAAATAACCAGTTAGAAAATATAAATAAAAAGCAAATCCCCCCCCAATTTACATTCAGCAAGAAAATAAATAATTTATATAGAATAAACCTAATGAATGTACAAACAATTAAGGAGAAAACTTCAAGTCCTGATGACAGAAAGTAGATTTGAACAAATGGAAGAACAGCTCTTGTCTGAATGGAAAACTGTACATCATGAAATGTCAGTTCTCTAATTACTATAAATTAAAATTTTCATAAAAAACACCGACTAGCATTTTATGGAGCTAGGTAAATGCACTAAAATTAATATATCCATCCACGAAAAATCACAATATTGTATTCATTTTATGAAATTCCAAAATGCAAACTATAGAGACAGAAAAAGATTATGATTACTTAAGAGAAAGCAAGGAAGACGATAAGATGATAGATTACAGGTGTCTTTAAAGGAACAAATCTGAAATTAAATGGTTGTGCATGACACCTCTGTCCCAGCTACTTGGAGCTGAATTGAGGAGGTAAGCTGAACCCAAGAATTCAAGCCAACCTGCTAACATAGTAGGCCGTCTAAAAAGTAAAATGACAGCATGGTGGCTCACACCTGTCAATCCTAGCACTCGGAGCGAACGGTGGATGCGTTTGACGCCAACATTCGAGACCCCCTAGAAGAGCAAGGACCCGTCCTACTAAATATGAAAGAAATAGCGACAACTAAAAAATATATACAAAATAGCGGATGTGGCGCATCTGTAGTCCAACTACTCGAGGTCTGAGCAGGAGACTCGCCTGACCCGAGTTGTTGCTTGAGCTAGCCTCACGCCATGGCACTCTAACCCGGGCAGACAGAGTGAATCTGTCTCAAAAAAAAAAGAACCTAGATTCATACTTATACTTTATACATAAATACCTTCTAAAGATATTAGAAAAATAATTTTAAAATTTCAACAAAACTATACATACAGTAGAAGAAAATATAGGTGAATTCCTGCTTAAACTGAGTGTGAAGAAATGCTTTCTGTGATACAAAATTTAGAAGCAATAAAAGAAAATATAGAAAAATGAATATTTATAAAAGTAAAAAATATTTGCATGTCAAAAAACACCATATAGAAGATGGCTATTTAAAAAAACCCACCATAAACAAAGTCAAAAGACAACTGACATGGTAGAGTAGTTTATATAAGACCAAATCTACAAATAACAATTATAAATTGTGGACAAAATCTTTTTTAAAATTACCTAAAAATAAGAATCTAAAGGCACTGGAAGGGGTCCAAGAGCAGGCAGAAACTGGACTGAGGTCAACCTGTGAAAGAAGTGACCCACACTAGTGAGTTTTCTGTTTTCATAGCTTCTTACCTGAGGGCACCCTGTAGGCCCCTTCCAGCACAGCTAGACATCAGATAGAAACCTGCAGTCTTACTGGCTTAGGAACTCAAAGGATGAAGCTCAGGGCTATTGCCACAGCTGAAAAGTGAGAAGAAAACGCATTCGAAGGAGAGAGCCACAGAGGAGGAGCTTCAAATTCAGAATATAAACTCTGTAAATCTCTCAGTGCCCCTGAACTATGTGTGTATGAGACAGACTCCAAGCAGCCTACCTAAAACTAAAAGAATTGGTCAAAATGTCAGCTGTTGCTCATCACAACTAAGACAGATTTCACAATCTGAAATTCAGCCAAGTTAATTGCCTGCTAAAACAGAAATTTACATCTCTCTAGAGCTGCAGTGGACCGGTGGACGGGTACTGGGTACTGGTCAGCTCCGTGGAGGGACCTGGCTGCAGAGCTCTGCCTCCCACCCCCAGTAGATAAATTGTCTTCCATGAAACTTATGAATGAGTGCAGCAGGAGGTGAGTGGCTTATGAGAGAGCAAAGCTTCAGCTGTATTTACAGCCATTCCCCTCCCAACCACTGGTATCACCTGTGTTACCACCTGAGCTTCCCACCCCCCCCATTCCCCACCCTTACCCACCCATGAAAAAACTGTCTTCCATGAAACTGGTCCCTGGTGCCAAAAAGGTTGGGGACTGCTGCTGCTTTAGAGGAACCACAAAAGAAGCCATAGGCTATCCAATATATTGTCCACAATGTCCATAATATAATAAAAATCACTGGACATACATGAGTCTGTATGTGCACATGCCACACACATAAACAAGAAATGGCACCCCATAGGCAAGAGAAAAAGGCAGTTGATGGAGACTGATCCTAATGTAACCAACACGTTGGATTTAGCAGATGAAAAATTTTAAAGTAAATTTTAAAGTAAAACTATGTTCAGGGCATAGAAGAAAATAAGCTCATAATGCATGAGCAAATAGGAAATCTCTGCTTTTTAGGGAGAAGAGAATGCAAATGGGGAGAAGTGGTAAGCAGTTGACCGTAATAACTGAAAAGACAGCAACATCGCCTACAGTACACACCTTTCCCATTATAAAAAGAAGCCACTGGCAGCTCGGGGTGGCTCACGCCTGTAATCCTAGCACTCTGGGAGGCCGAGGCAGGCAGATCGCTCAAGGTCAGGAGTTCGAAACCAACCTGAGCAAGAGCAAAAGCCCGTCTCTACTAAAAATAGAAAGAATACACGAAAAATGAGCCGGGCATCCGGTGGTTGCATGCGCTGTAGTCCCAGCTACCTCGGGAGCTGAGGCAGCAGGATCGCTTGAGCCCAGGAGTTTGTGGGTTGCTGTGAAGCCTAGGCTGACGCACCTCACTCTAGCCTGGGCAACAAAGTGAGACTCTGTCTGTCTCAAAAAAAAACAACAAAACAAACAAAAACAAAACAAACAAAAAAAACAATTTGATCTTTCTAATTTGTTTTTATTGTTTTCTGTGTATGAGTTATATGCGACACAATCATGTTTTTAGAATTAAATTGTCAATATTAATTGTAACAATAAGAACATCAACAAATTAATAAGATTTTCACAGAACAACTTAAGGGTTTTGCTTCAAGAGGCCCTGGGCTTAAACTGGCCTGAGTTAATGTGACTCACAGGGCAGTCAATGTGTTAATATACAGCTTGTAACACAGCTCTGTGCAATCTAGTATCACTGTAGGTCATGATGATTTGTGAATTCTAAGCAAGATTTGAGGCTAATCACAAGTCCAAGAGACAGAAGAATAAATACTTCATCTCATAAAAAACAAGAATAAGCTATTCAGAGTGTGTATGCTAACAAAAGGATTTGTTTCCTTAGAAGCATTTCTGTTAAAATAAAGAACAAGATGAGAATGCCTTCCATTGCCTCTGCTGTTTACAATGTATTGCGGATAGTAGCCAATGCCGGTAGACAAGCGAAAGCACTTAGAGACCTGCAGACTTTAGAATTGCAAAAGAAGTAAGCTATTTCTATTTGCAGATGATATGATAGTATGCCGGAAAGGCTAGAAAATCAATACAACTAACTCAAACAAAAATAATTCAGCAGGTAAAAAAGGTAAATTACCTTTAGAAACATACACAAATACTAACCAGTTAGAAAATATAATAATAAAGCAAATCCTTTACATTAGCAATGAAAATGATAATATTTATATAGCAGATAAACTAATGAGAAATGTACAAAATTTAAATGGAAAAACTTCAAGTCTGATGACAGAAAAGTAGATTTGAACAAATGGAAGAACAGCTCTTGTTCTTGAATGGGAAAACTGTACATCATGAAGATGTCAGTTCTCCCTTAATTTATAAATTTAACAAATTTTCAATAAACACCGACTAGCATTTTTATGGAGCTAGGTAAAACTGGCATACAAAATTTATATTATCCATCACAAAAGATCACATATTGTATTGAGTTCTATTATATGAAATGTCCAAATGGGGCAAATCTATAGACGACAGAAAATAGATTAGTTGATTACTTAAGACTGGAAGAGCAGAGGGACAGAGAATAGAGATTGATAGATGATTACAAGGTTCTTTTAGAAGAACAAATGTTCTGAAATTATTGGTGTGGTGGTATGCACCTGTAGTCCCAGCTACTTGGGAGGCTGAAGGGAGCTGACCAAGAATAAGTCCAACTGGCAACATAGTGAGGCCCCGTCAGTAATGAGTCAGGCATGGTGGCTCACACACTAGTAAATCTAGCACTCTGGGAGGCTGAAGCAAGGTTTTTTTGGATGGTTTGAGCTGCAGAAGTTCGAGACCCAGCCTGAGAGGAGGCAGACCGTGTCTCTACCTAAAAATAGAAAGAAATTGTACTGAAACTAAAATATACAAAAATTTAGCTGGCAATCGGTGGCGCATTGCCTGTAGTCCCAGCCTACGGGGGCTGAAGGCAGGGGGAGGATCGGCCTGAGCCCAGGAGTTTGAGGTTGCTGTGAGCTAGGCTGCGCCATGGCACATCTAACCCGGGCAACAGAGTGAGACTCTGTCTCAGAAGGGCTCACAAAGTTCCTGAATGTTTAACAAACACAAAGGTTCTGGCACACCCCTGGGAGCCAATCTAGAAAGATACATGAAATGCATCAAGATAACATAAACAGCAAGCAGGTAAGACAGAAGGAATGAAACAAGGACAGAGGTGTAAAGTGGAGCCGGGACTTAGAAAATATAAAAAGGCACATTATAAAGCCCTACGCACATGTTTCATACTCACTTTTGGCTCTGAGAAGGCTCCAAGCCTGAAAGGAGACACTTACCTGGTTCACAGTGTTCTTAAGATAAAAATAAGTCGCATGCTGAGAAGTGCCAGTTTCCTGTTCTTCAATTTAGGTCACATTTCTCCTCCTGAGGGTCCCCGTAAAGCAAAGACCGTGTCACGGAGCGAATGTCCTCACCAACATCAGCTCGGTGGTCCGACCTTGAGCTGCGATCGTGTGAAAACAATGCTACAGGACACCCACCCAGTCAGGGTCCCAAGGCCAGTGGACCTATTTTCCAGCCCACTCCCTGGCCAACGGGGCTGTGGATGTGCGCCCCTGCCTTGGAGCCGTCGCCAAGCTTTTGCTAGAGACCAGACTGTGGTAAGTTTCACTTGCTCTCCCAGCCAGCTCTCCCCACCTGAAACCAGTTACTGGCCATAAAACTCAACCCATGTCTTCTAACTGACGATCAGGGCGCAGGAGAGAATGCCATTCCTTTGGAAAACAGAACTCCTTTCGAGGCCTTGGCTCCTCTACTGGGAAGTGAGTAATTCCTGATGCAATATTCAAAGTGCAAAAGGAAGTGCAAATACTGACCATCTAGGCTCTGATCTACATTGGCACAATGGTTTTAAGAGGACCAAATGAAGAGGAGGAGAATAATGATTGTGCAGTGAACTGAGCATTTCCTCAATTTTATCGGCCTCCTTCCCAGAGGTCCATAAAAAAGAAAAGGTCACCTCCTCATTCCCTGGCATTTGGAATTTGGTGAAAAACTTTTAGTTAAAAAAAAATTTTTTTTTATTGCAGTATAGCATACATGCAGAAAAGTTCTCAAGTCCTAATGAAAAGAGAACCAGGATGCCAGCGCTAGATCCAGAAGCAGAACATTACCTTCCCCAGCTGTCCCCTCGTGTTCCCCTCCAGGCACTATTTCATAACCACTGACACCGTTGTTTTAGCTGTTTCTTGTTTGTTTGTTGAGACAGAGTCTTGCTCTATCACCTGGGCTAGAGTGCCATGGCGCCAGCCTAGCTCAGAGCAACCTCAAACTCCTGGGCTCAAGTGATCCTCCTGCCTCAGCCTCCAAAGTAGCTGGGACTACAGGCGAGTGATAGATAACATGCCTGGCTAATTTTTTCTATGTTTTAGTAGACACGGCGTCTCGCTCTTACTCAGGCTGGTCTCAAACTCCTGACCTCAAGTGATCCTTCCACCTTGGCCTTCCAGAGCGCTAGGATTACAGGAGTGAGCCACCATACCCGGCCCTGTTTTAGCTATTTTTGAACAGAAATTAAATTAATGCACACACGCAGTAAGTAGTGTTTTGTGTCTGGTTTCTTTCACTCATTATATTTGTGAGATTCATCCATTCGCTTGAAAGTAGGTACAGATGGTTCGTTCTTATTGCTGTACAGTATTCCATTGTTTGAATATATCAGAGTGTATCCATTTTACTTATGAGAATTTGGGTTGTTTGTAGTTTTTAGCTACTATGAATAAAGCTTTTATGAACATTCTAGCACACATCTTTTGGTGAACATAGCAATCATTCCCTTGGGTGTATATATATACACACACAGGAGGAAATTGCTAGATGATACTGTTTTGCTTTAGTTTATGCTTTACTGCCATAAAGTTTTCCAGAGTCGTTGTACCAAAAAAGTAACCTTTTACTCATTTAAATAAGCAAAAATCTTTTAAAGTATAGTGACCCAAGCTTGAGAAGTTATGACAGATGTAGTACAATAACACATTGACTGCCACACTAGAAAAAAAAATTTTTTCCCCTGGGGCCATAGTGTTTTTTTGTTTTTTGTTTTATGTTTAAATGTTTATTTTTTATATCATTGTACATTTACCTTTTTTTTTTTTTATTTCGGCATATTATGGGGGTACAGATTTTAAGGTTTCAATAAATGCCCATTTCCCCCCCTCCATAGTGTTTTATTAAAACAATTTGATTGGCCAGGCATGGTGGCTCACGCCAGTAATCCTAACACTCTAGGAGGCCGAGGTGGGTGGATTGCTTAAGGTCAGGAGTTCAAAACCACCCTGAGCGAGACCACGTCTCTACCAAAAATAGAAAGAAATTAATTGACTAGCTAAAAATATATATACAAAAAATGAGCCGGGCATGGTGGCGCATGCCTGTAGTCCCAGCTACTCAGGAGGACTCTGGGAGGCCGAGGCGGGCGGATTGCTCGAGGTCAGGAGTTCGAAACCAGCCTGAGCAAGAGTGAGACCCCGTCTCTACTATAAATGGAAAGAAATTAATTGGTCAGCTAAAAGTATACACAAAAAATGAGCCGGGCATGGTGGTGCATGCCTGTAGTCCCAGCTACTCGGGAGGCTGAGGCAGAGGATTGCTTGAGCCCAGGAAATTGAGGTTGCTGTGAGCTAGGCTGACGCCACGGCACTCACTCTAGCCTGGGCAACAAAGTGAGACTCTGTCTCAAAAAAACAAAAAACAAAAAACAAACAAAAAAACAATTTGATCTTTTCTAATTTGTTTTTATTGTTTTCTGTGTATGAGTTATATGCGACACAATCCATGTTTTTAGAATTGAATTGTCAATATTAATTGTAACAATAAGAACATCAACAAATATTAATAAGATTTTCACGAACCAACTTTAGGGTTTTGCTTCAAGAGGCCCCTGGGCTTAAAACTGGCCTGAGTTAATGTGACTCACAGGGCAGTCAATGTGTTAATATACAGCTTGTAACACAGCTCTGTGCAATCTAGTATCACTGTAGGTCATGAAATGGATTTGTGAATTCTAAGCAAAGATTTGAGGCTAATCACAAGTCCAAGAGACAGAAGAATAAATATTCATTCATTAAAACAAACAAGAATAAGCTATTCAGAGTGTGTATGCTAACAAAAGGATTTGTTTCCCTTAGAAGCATTTCTGTTAAAATAAAGAACAAGATGAGAATGCCTTCCATTGCCTCTGCTGTTTAACAATGTATTGCGGATAGTAGCCAATGCCGGTAGACAAGCGAAAGCACTTAGAGACCTGCAAGACTTTAGAAAATTGCAAAAGAAGTAAGCCTATTTCTATTTGCAGATGATATGATAGTATGCCCGGAAAGGCCTAGAAAATCAATACAACTAACTCAAACAACAAATAATTCAGCAAGGTAAAAGAAGGTAAAATTAACCTTTAGAAACAATACACAAATAATAACCAGTTAGAAAATATAATAATAAAGCAAATCCCATTTACATTAGCAATGAAAATGAAATAAAATTTATATAGGAATAAACCTAATGAGAAATGTACAAAATTTAAATGGGAAAAACTTCAAACTCCTGATGACAGAAAAGTAGATTTGAACAAATGGAAAAACAGCTCTTGTTCTTGAATGGGAAAACTCTACATCATGAAGATGTCAGTTCTCCTTAATTTATAAATTTAACAAATTTTCAATAAAAACACCGACTAGCATTTTTATGGAGCTAAGTAAACTGGCACTAAAATTTATATTATCCATCACAAAAGATCACATATTGTATGATTCTATTTATATGAAATGTCCAAAATGGGCAAATCTATAGAGACAGAAAACAGATTAGTGATTGCTTAAGACTGGGAAGAGCAGAGGGAAGAGAATAGAGATTGATAATGATTACAAGGTTTCTTTTAGAAGGAACAAATGTTCTGAAATTATTGGGTGTGGTGGTATGCACCTGTAGTCCCAGCTACTTGGGAGGCTGAAGTGGGAGGGTAGCTTGAACCCAAGAATTCAAGTCCAGCCTGGGCAACATAGTGAGGCCCCGTCCCTAAAAAAGTAAGAATGAGTCAGGCATGGTGGCTCACACCTGTAATCCTAGCACTCTGGGAGGCTGAAGCAGGTGGATGGTTTGAGCTCAGAAGTTCGAGACCAGCCTGAGCAAGAGCAAGACCCTGTCTCTACTAAAAATAGAAAGAAATTAGCTGGACAACTAAAAATATATACAAAAAATTAGCTGGGCATGGTGGCGCATGCCTGTAGTCCCAGCTACTCAGGAGGCTGAGGCAGGAGGATCGCCTGAGCCCAGGAATTTGAGGTTGCGGTGAGCTACGCTGACGCCATGGCACTCTAACCCGGGCAACAGAGTGAGACTCTGTCTCAAAAAAAAAAAAAAAGATAAAATTAGATTCATACTTATACTTTATACATAAATACCTTCTAAAGATATTAGAAAAATAATTTTAAAATTTCAACAAAACTATACATACAGTAGAAGAAAATATAGGTGAATTCCTGCTTAAACTGAGTGTGAAGAAATGCTTTCTGTGATACAAAATTTAGAAGCAATAAAAGAAAATATAGAAAAATGAATATTTATAAAAGTAAAAAATATTTGCATGTCAAAAAACACCATATAGAAGATGGCTATTTAAAAAAACCCACCATAAACAAAGTCAAAAGACAACTGACATGGTAGAGTAGTTTATATAAGACCAAATCTACAAATAACAATTATAAATTGTGGACAAAATCTTTTTTAAAATTACCTAAAAATAAGAATCTAAAGGCACTGGAAGGGGTCCAAGAGCAGGCAGAAACTGGACTGAGGTCAACCTGTGAAAGAAGTGACCCACACTAGTGAGTTTTCTGTTTTCATAGCTTCTTACCTGAGGGCACCCTGTAGGCCCCTTCCAGCACAGCTAGACATCAGATAGAAACCTGCAGTCTTACTGGCTTAGGAACTCAAAGGATGAAGCTCAGGGCTATTGCCACAGCTGAAAAGTGAGAAGAAAACGCATTCGAAGGAGAGAGCCACAGAGGAGGAGCTTCAAATTCAGAATATAAACTCTGTAAATCTCTCAGTGCCCCTGAACTATGCGTGTATGAGACAGACTCCAAGCAGCCTACTTAAAACTAAAAGAATTGGTCAAAATGTCAGCTGTTGCTCATCACAACTAAGACAGATTTCGCAATCTGAAATTCAGCCAAGTTAATTGCCTGCTAAAACAGAAATTTCCATCTCTCTAGAGCTGCAGTGGACCAGTGGACGGGTACTGGGTACTGGTCAACTCCGTGGAGGGACCTGGCTGCAGAGCTCTGCCTCCCACCCCCAGTAGATAAATTGTCTTCCATGAAACTTATGAATGAGTGCAGCAGGAGGTGAGTGGCTTATGAGAGAGCAAAGCTTCAGCTGTATTTACAGCCATTCCCCTCCCAACCACTGGTATCACCTGTGTTACCACCTGAGCTTCCCACCCCCCCCCCATTCCCCACCCATTACCCACCCATGAAAAAACTGTCTTCCATGAAACTGGTCCCTGGTGCCAAAAAGGTTGGGGACTGCTGCTGCTTTAGAGGAACCACAAAAGAAGCCATAGGCTATCCAATATATTGTCCACAATGTCCATAATATAATAAAAATCACTGGACATACATGAGTCTGTATGTGCACATGCCACACACATAAACAAGAAATGGCACCCCATAGGCAAGAGAAAAAGGCAGTTGATGGAGACTGATCCTAATGTAACCAACACGTTGGATTTAGCAGATGAAAAATTTTAAAGTAAATTTTAAAGTAAAACTATGTTCAGGGCATAGAAGAAAATAAGCTCATAATGCATGAGCAAATAGGAAATCTCTGCTTTTTAGGGAGAAGAGAATGCAAATGGGGAGAAGTGGTAAGCAGTTGACCGTAATAACTGAAAAGACAGCAACATCGCCTACAGTACACACCTTTCCCATTATAAAAAGAAGCCACTGGCAGCTCGGGGTGGCTCACGCCTGTAATCCTAGCACTCTGGGAGGCCGAGGCAGGCAGATCGCTCAAGGTCAGGAGTTCGAAACCAACCTGAGCAAGAGCAAAAGCCCGTCTCTACTAAAAATAGAAAGAAATTTATTGGCCAACTAAAAATATATAGAAAAAATTACCTGGGCATGGTGGCACATGCCTGTAATCCCAGCTACTCGGGAGGCTGAGGCAGAAGGATCGCTTGAGCCCAGGAGTTTGAGGTTGCTGTGAGCTAGGCTGACGCCAAGGCACTCACTCTAGCCCGGG